TAAAAAAATAATATTAAATATAAATACAGATCACAGGATACAGATCACTGGATTAAAGAGATAATCATTTCATATAATTAAAGGAAGGAAGGAGAAAGTAAGTCAACTTAATTATATTTAATTTGCTGGTAAAGTGGTGTGAGGGTACTCAATAAAAAAACTAAGAGAATAAAATCCTCTTATTTAAAAGTTCTAATTGTATATGACTGCTAAAAATGGTGTCTAATCTGCTAAGGGGTTTGAGTTATACTAGAAGCTAAGTACAGAATAATAGACTTATTTTATGCAAATACTTCAATTTAATCGGATAGTTAACTTTATTTGATGTATCAGCTCTCTCTTGGTATTTAGAATAAAACATTAGATTTATACTTTAGCGATAATGTGCGCTTTTATTCTTAAAGAGCTATCAGAGAATGTTATTCGAGCACAAAAACACATGACGAGTATAACCAAAAATCTTGCTTGATGATTTACTAGAGTTATTATCATTATAGTGGATGTTAGAAATTAAGAAATAGAAAAGAAGTAATTAATGCAACTCGAGAAGGTATGTATATATTGCCTAGCGTTTAGTGAATTTTAAAGAAGTAAAGACTACTTTAAACATTGATGCCATTTCTATTTAAAACTTCTTGAATTAATTATAAGCGAGGGCGTCATACAGTGCACTGATGATAGTTTCAGTTTTATCATAGGTGCTGTTGATTTCAAGTGCAAAAATAAGTAATTCACACTTGCATAGTACTGTGTTGATAAGCTTTTTACTGAGGCAAGGTAATCATAATTGTTTGGTACTGACTATTGCAAGCTTATGGAATCAGCAAGCAAAATTGATGTGGTATTCCCAAATGAATACCTAATGAATAGAGGCAAAAAAAAGTAAAATAGCCTTCAAGCAAAGTAGTTTAAGATTAAAGATGAGAAGATTAATTAGACTTCCCTTATCCTTGACGATGAAGCAATCATCTCTATGCTGATCCCATGAGAGTTTGAGACTCAAGCAGCGGATTCTCTTATATGTTTTATGTTTCAATGCCACTCCTATAACTAGTGAACTTTAACTCAAGATTAAAGACCAGCTCAAATTAAATTAATGCTTCAGTCATTGATGGATCTGGGGCGTTCATTCATGGTGTGGGATTTAAAGCAACCTCAGTGGGATGGAAGTATACTAACATTAAGAACTAGTCAAGTTATCACCACTAATAGTCTACTTTAATAATTACTCACAAAAGTAATCGTTACTACTGGTATTCCTTGTGTTGTTATTATAGTAGATATTGATAAGAAATGCCAACATCAACTAGAGAAGATGAATGCTATCAATTAGATTTACATCATCATTATGTAAATGATAACACTGTGTATGAGAAGCCTCGACTGCAGATCTCATACGGTCCCTATAATTCTAGTTATTGCCAAGAGCTTTAAGATCAGCAGATCTAATATTCAGGTCTTAAACAGACTGATAGGATTTGGAGACAAATGTAGCAGAGAGACCTTTACAGATGTCTATATCAATGTCACAGTAGCAGAGTAGAAATTATCTATTCAGTACTTCAAGTTCATAAAACTCTTGATAATAGCTAGGTAGTTCTCAAGCCAGCAACTACTATCTTTAAGTGCTAGATCGGTGCTAAAAGATATGCACAACTACTTGGGCTATGAACCTTGAGACAGAAACAAATGCTTTGACTAGGAAATAATTTATTATTAACTGCAAAAACATATTTTAATTCAATGATCTCTTAATGCTTAATTTCATATTCTTTTCTTTAAATTTCAGTCCTTTATTTCTTCACTAAGACATCAACTTTCCATATGTGTTGCTACTTAATATTAAAATTATTGCGATATTTTATAATTAACTCAACTTTGTGAAAATCGAAAAATCAGACCAAATAGCATATTTATTACTGATACTTTTCAGATGTGCTTCTCAGAACCTCTAATTAAATTTTAAACACTTTAGGAATACTAGAACATAATGATATGGTCAAATGTGAATGGTAATAGGTTCAAAAACGTATTAAAACCAAAACTAAATTTAATCAAAATATAAGGAACCACAATTCATAGTAATTATTATTAAATTCAACTCAAGAAAATATGGAAAGGAAAAACTAAGAGATATATGTACGTATAATAAATATTATTTGAGGGAAAAAAAATATATCCAACTTTACTATATAAAATTATTAAGAGTTATTGCTTGTAAAAGATTTAAAAAAGCGTATCTTAAGCCATACTGCCATACCATGTGATAAATAACTCATCATTTTTAAAAGCTTGCTGTTAGAGGATGATGCTAATTTAAGAAAATGCGGAATATAAAATAAGGATACGGTAACGCTATTTTTGGGTAAAAATAATTTCGGTTGGCATCTCGCTTAAAAAAATCTGATAGAGTTTGTAATTCCTGCTATTTTGAAAAATGAAGGCATTTGCTGGCGAAAATTAGATAATTTTTAAAGTGATTTTCATCAATTTATAGATAAGGAATCTTAAGTTGTTGAACTTTTGCCTCATAATAAATTTTTTAAGAGATCTGTTGAATTGAAAATTAAGGCCTTGCCGTAGGCTAACTATGCCATATTTATCCAGAAAAATACTTAGCATGCTAAGGAACTTGATATCTGGCGAACTATCCCATACTAATCTGAAGAAGATGGCTTATTGAAGTTGCGTCTTAATACTTTCTCGAACATGTTCGTATCTTTAAATCCTAAAGGATAATTTTCAATAGAAGAAAAAAAAACTGAGCAAGAAATGAAGTCCTCTAATGTTAAATTTCACAAATTCGAGCCCGGGTTAAACTTTGTTATTAGCAATCCTTGCGATGATGAATCATGTAGCAAAGCTGAAAAATTTCCTGTATAAGTTCTTCCCTTAAATTACATGGAATTGGATATTAGTAAATTAGATAAATATAAATGTCCCTGTGGGGACGAGTTAAATCCTTACCAAATTAGTCAAATCATAATAATGCTTGCTTAGGCCACAATTAAATATGCTATTGACAAAGGGCCAGGCAAAAAATCTCCTACTTAAAGCATTGATTTAGTTGCAAAAGATAACGAAATTATGGTCATTGGAAATGGTTGCCCAATCAAGTATACCAAATTTATTATATCGGTAGTACCTTCGGCAAAAGATCCTAAGGATATCAAAGAACTTGTTAAAGCAGGATTTGCAGAGCTAGATGAATTTGGCAATGCAATCGGCAAAATGTTTTAGTTGTCTAATGACTCTGGGGTTCGCATTAAAGTCCTAGTTGGAAAATTTTTTGATGATGAAGGATTCACATTAGAATCATTTAATTAAAATGCAGGAAAAGATCTTAGAGAAAATAACTTCGAGGTGGTAGTTACTGAGAATGTAGATTAATTTGTGAAACTAATCAAGGATGGAGAATATAGTTCTGCTTTAATAATAAGTGATAGTTATCAGCGCTATTAAGGCACATAAGCTTAAAAAAATGAATATGTGGAGGCGGTTTACACTTTTTGGAAGAAAGGCAACGGCTTAATGATTTTTGAAGATAATGATGCATTGGATGATAGCCTCTCCAACATAGCTTTAAGAAAACTCTTGGGATTCACTTTACATGGTAATGATCCTGGGTGTAAGGTGCTATTTCCATCTACGTCCATAATTCCTGAAAAAGGAAAATTCTCAGTCCACGAAATATTCACTGGTATAGTATGCAGCATCCATGAAGGAGTTACTATAGCAAGACCAAAAGGGATGCTTCCTCCATCTATAAAAGTAGTAGCTAAATCTAGTAGTGATGAGCCCTGCATAATGTGCTATGATAATGAAAATTTAGGAAGAGTTGTTATTGATACAGGGTTTACAAAACTATTCTAACATAACTACAAAGAGACTGCCGGTACATCTTATTACATAAAGAATGCAGTGGTCTGGATTAATAGAGCTAATCTCTCTTGAGTGTGATTTTTAATAATGTGATTTCCCTTTTAATATTGATCTTTTGCTTATCAAATCATTATATTATTTAAGGATTATTCTATAATTCCATCTTTCAGTCATTCCATCATACCTTTTGGTCTAGGGTATACACCTTAAACACTTAACCTTATTTCAATTTTCCTTTCACTTTGGGATAGAGAACATTTTTCCCTAAATTTACCTTTAAACATAACACTTCACCTTCCTTCACTTTTGACCCAACCACACCTGGTATTTTTTCAAGTATATATTAGTAAATTCTAGCTCATTATAGCTTATAATATTAGGTTGTAATAGATTAGTATGAATATTTAATTTTATAAATTAACATTCAACAAGATTATTATTATACTAAATTTTGTAATTTTTGTTCTTAAGGGGTTTTGGGGTTTTGGGGTTTTGGGG